ATAGTTAACCAACAGCTTTAAACAATACATAAACACATGACTCGTAGTTGAAATATTTGTTATAGTTCTAAAAAAATACAAGGCATTAGGATAAATATTAGTCATGTTTGGTAACGGAAAGTTAATGTTTATGAAGTTATCCAACTTGTTCGTAAGTAATTCAACAATTTCCTGGATGACATCAGCTTATATCTCAAAGTTTACGATCCGTATAACGTAAATTTGATTCGCCCTATCATTCAGTACGGTTGATAACTATTTCTTTTTACCTCTAAAAAAATGATAAAAGTTTATGACAATCACGGTAAATGTTTGGCACAAAAACCTGGTAGGTGGACGAAAATATTCAGCATAAATACATCCAGCTGAAAGGAGATAAAACTATCAAAATGTTTACATCTGTAAGACAATACAATTCTTATAATCTGACTCGATTAAATCACTTAGAAACTATCAAATTTCTTCTATTTTCTATATTACAAAACAAATTGGAATAAATTGGTGTTCAAAACCTTAAATTTCAATTTTTTTCACATCTTTTAAGAGATTAAATAATCAACTAACAAATATATAAGAAACAAATGTCATTTACAGCTAATGGATAATACATAGCTTAAAAGCATTCAACTGTACATATCTACGTTGTACATATATACAGTACATATGTACTCATACACATACATACATATAATATAAATATTAGGCAATACAAACTATACATTCAATTAGTTTACCATTTATGCGTCAGCTGTTTTCCAACTAATCCATTAAAAGAAACTTATTACTTTTTATTTTGCATTCATTTTGAACTTTCTACAATATTCATCTTAAGAAGAAAAATAACGAACAAACTCTGTTCTAGTAATTAACTCAAAATGGTTTCTATGTTGTGAATAAAGGTAATATGATAATGATACTACTCTAATGGATTTCATCTATATAACACTATCATTGTTCTAATTAACTAGTTATTTTGTGCATTTATTGTCTGTAAATTATTCTTTTTTTTCAGTTAAAACTTATGAAATGTGCATTATATTACGAAAGTTTATGTTATATCATAATAGTTAAGTAACTAGTTGGGAAAGAAAAGTCTAGTACATATTAGGAAAAATGTTTAAAATATTTTAGACTATCTGTTTGTTTGTTTATTTGCATAACGACAAAGATGTTGTCATCTCCTTAATCACATAATATTACACTATATCATTAATAAATTCTTTAGAATTTTTGATAGTTTTCATATTCAATTGTACAAATGAATTGACAGAAAATTTAAAGTGTTGTGTTTATTTTACATCCAAGTATTCAATTTATTATCATATAGTTACTATGTATACTATTCTTACATATTCAATCAACAAAAAGAGATTTTTCTATATGTGTGTGGTAGTACTTTGTTAAAACTTTGATATGAAGTTTGGTGATTGTGCAAGCGTATATAAAACGAAAAATGGTATAAACAAATAGATAGAAAAAGAAAGATTAATGTACCAATGTGAATGGAAATATAAGAACTTATGTATTATCTTATTTACACTAGATTTTACCAAGATAAACTGATTTATTTATTTATAACTAAAATATAACAATAGTTGGTTTCATTTAAGTGTATATGTTTGTATTTGTGTTTTACTTCGCTCATCATAATGGTTAGTCATCATACTGACTAGTTAATGAGACTACAGATGAAGTTAAAATGAAGTGATAAAAAAAATGTTTATGAACACATTTGAAGCATAGATAATTGAACAATTGTTGACATTGCTTAGATTTCTAACATTAAGTGGCCTCTTGAAAAGTATATTGATAGACTGTCATCATCTTACACTGTTGAACATCTATTAAAATAATCTATTCACTTCGTTTTTTTTTAATTTTATTTTTAGCCAATCTTTAACAATCAACACTAATGTTCTATTTCAATATGTATTGAGTGAAAATCTCCAATTACTCTTATAAAATATAGTAAAATCTCTCATTTTTATAGTGCAATAAGAAGACGAAGATTATCAGAACTATATGATATATTAGCGTAATACATTTGGGACAATCTGATCACACATACACTTGTTAAGAACATTTATATATAAAAATAAAGGTCAACTAGACTAGAAATGAGTGGAGGGATAAGAGAAAACAAATCTAGTCAATAAATATAGTAAAGAAAATAATCGGAAAAAAAATTGAAACCTCATCACGCTAGATAATAAGTTAATATTACCAGGGTAGGTTTAAGGTGAGAACAAACTGTGTCTGAATACAAAAAGCGAATTTGAATTTCCATATGGTTAAGGCTTTAATAAACCTTAGTATACTCCCTTTTACACTTTTGTGCAACACCTCAAAATCTAAGATCCATCTTATGACCTGTTTCAACTATGTGTTTGGCGATAGAGAATGATGGGTGTTTATTATCTATTCTTCTTGGGTCATTAGATTTTATACAGTTAGTTCACCTTATGAATTTAAATAAAGCCAGAACAAACAATGATGCTGAATAATATAGATTCATTATATTTCGTGGTTTGTCATCAGCTGCTTATTTGTTTCTGCAACTATTAAGGTACATGTTCAGACACCTTAATTTGGTGGTCATGATTACTCTTACCTATGTATGTGTGGCCACACACACAATGAGTCAACAGTATATTCTACTTCTTAAGTTACACTTTATCAGTTTTTGTCTTGGAATTTATCTACATCCTTTATAGCAATCAACTTAGCCAAAATGGTGGTGAAGAAATGAATAATGACCATAACGTAGATAATAAAGAGTTAATTGTACATTTTAAGTTGTATAGAAAAACGATTCTAAAGAAGGAATCAATTAAACAAACAAGATGATGATAATGACGACTATGGAAAACAGCTTTAAAAGTGAATTCAGTGAAAATTGAAATCAGATGTCGATAAAACGGTTTAATCGCACATTAATCATAAGTATATTTGATAATTATGTTTCATTAGTCAGATAAGAACAGAAAAAATATTGGAATAGTTTTGGTTTCAACGATGAAAAGGTCAGATTTGTCAGCTGTTTTAATATATTAGGCAAAATATCTTGTTCAAGGATCGATTAATGCGAATGTAGAGAATATTGTGATTGTAAAAATTGTTTCGGAATACAAAGGGGGGTTTTAGTCGAACAAATGACTTTGGTTGCAGTTGTAAGCATATAAGGTGTTTGTAAATCATGGAACAGATAACTTTAAACACATTACTGATGTAAAACAGACATCCAGTATAACTTAAGTGTGTTTTTAACTAATTTTATCCTATGTTATGTTTGAGGATTCGAAATATTCAAATAGGATCAGTCTAACTATTGTTGCCAATGGTTAGAGACATCGAGTGACAATCCAGAAGCATTCATTCTTTCGCCTATTCGTGAAGATGAATTTAAAAATGATCTCGCACTTTATATCATACAAATTAATTCTTTTCTTTTTGAATCATGCTCACTAAGACTACCTTCTTTACTATCATGGATACTAATTCTATGACTGAAACTTTGTGTTTTTCTTGATCATTTCATCTCAAAATACTGATATCGTATGGCAACTTGAATCGATGTAAGTAGGCACATATGTTACTTGTGACTGTTAAACGAAACAATAGTAATAAGGATTGTTAAACCATATTATAAGCGATGACTTTTACAGAAATACGCTTGTGAAAAACATATGTTTTGTAGATCATTTACAAAGTCAGTCAATCTTTTTTTTCAACTAGAAATTAGTTATATTGATTGACGAAAATAACTTAACCGGTCACTAATATAATACTGAATCGATTGTCTTTACAAATTTATTACCATTAATAAAAGGAAACACTATATTGCAGAAATATGTATATATCATTTAGGAACTTTCTAGGAATACGCTTTAGTAGATTACAAGGTTTAACAATTCGATTCATCGTATAAATTGACAACTACAATAATTTATGATTTAATTATAGCTTATAAATACATTTTCAAGGTATATATACCTTTAACAAATTTCTATAGAATTCAGTGTTTTTCATCTGACTAAAACCGATGAATCAATTTTCTTCAGTAATACATTTTATTTCTGGTAATAACTTGAATGGATTTAAGTTGCATCTTTTATGAAATCTAATTATTTACCATTATGTGTAGATATGTTTGTATTAATTAACAGAGGTTCTATTCAACAAAAGAGAAGAATTTCATATTAACTGAGACTACTCATAATTAACAAATTACTTGAATTTAAGTACACTCTCCAGTGTATAGTAGTATCATATTATAATCAATTTAAAAATATTATTCCCTTCTCTATTTAGTTATTCAGTTACTATACACACTATCTCATTATTTAAACAGGTAATAAGCACCAAAAAACTATTTGTGCTTTGAATAATTATTTAAAGATGTCTAAAGTATTTAGTCCCTTGGATAAGTTTCGATAATAATCTTCGTCTTCTTATTACATTGAAATAAAGATGTCTGTTTGAAATTATAGAGCCAAATGATTCTATGGCTAAAATAAGAATTTTATTACTAAACATATTAAAGTGACAGTTCAGTTCTAGAATCCATCATGTTACTTTTAAAGTATAAAAACGTTTGATGAATTTCTGTCATAAACGTTTCTTGAAAACAATACAAAGAGTCAATCAATTGACTTCATCTATTTATTTAACACAAGTCTTTAACTATCATCTATCCGGTAGACTTGATTGACAAGAATATTACCATTATGTATTATTATTTCAACATGTTACCTAAGTATGCCAAAATGCTTATTGAATAGAATGGCTTGTTATAAAACTTCTGATAACTCATACCGGACATTATATTTTAACTTATCAGTAATATATATATCATTTAACACTTTTAATCATAACACTAATATCGAAAACAATCTTCAAAATTAACTGATGGCTATAAACATTTAACAAGTTTCATACAAATTCTCATCTGGTTTTTTTCTAATCTTGTTTGCATGTATGTTTCATTTTTTTATTTCTAGTATACACTTTGAGGATAAATCTGTAGAAGAACGTAAAAGTAAGTAAAAATTACTCCTTATATTTCATTAAACTTTTATCTTATATTTTTGAATGTTAAGTGTAGTGACACGTAACTTAGTAACTACTAACCGTGGTAAATATTATAAAAATAGAGTGGCCACTACTCATAATATTTTCTTACACTAATAAAGACATAAAAAAAATCTAGACTGCTGAGTTTTCCATTGGATTTTTGCTACATCAAACATCTGAAATAGATGCCAGTCCATTTACAACAAGCCGTTATCTGACCAGCAGAAATTTAGAAAAACTAAAAGGTGGAGTTACGAATCAAGTTAGTTTTGTAACAAAAAAAAACAATGTATTCACATACCGAGCCTTTGAACTTTGATTTTTCAAAACTTTTGAAAAAGATACTAATATTGATAATAATGTTGATGCTTGACTAACCGTAACAGTTAAGAACATAATCTTGAGATGGTGAAGATTTGTAGCTCAGGTGGATGATTTTGATGGAGTTTTTTTCCTCTGAGCTGGATGGTTTGATCGACCAAAGATAATAAAGATTGAATTTATTTTGTTTCCTGTGTGTTTATGTGATATTCATAAAGATCTTATGATATGTCGATATTTTTGCCAAATGAGAAATATCATACGTCACAAAAAAAATTATGGGTAACTGAGTTCAAGTGATATCTTCATTATAACTCACGGTCCGTAGGTTTTAGGTATGGAGTTGAGGAAAGAATTAGTAAGTGATGTCTGAACATTGTTCATTAAAAATACATTTCAATGGTTGCAACCATAAGTCAATTGAACCTAGATCACCATGGAAAACCTGGAAGCACTGGATGGCCGTTTCATCCTATTGTAGGACTCCTCAGTAGTGCGCATCCACTATTCCGCCTCGCGAGACTCAAACCCGGGACACATTAGTCTCTCACATGAGCGCTTAACCATTAGACCACTGAGCCGTCATCCAACGTTGTTAATGTCTAACTTCAACCAGTCCTCAAAACTGGGCGACACATCCACCATTGTCTTCAGTGAGTTACTATCTCACAACAGACCCGGTTGCACGCGACTGGTCACTGTTTCTCACTAGAATATATTTATCAAACGCTGGAACTTTACTACTATAATTATTGTTGTGAATAATCACAGTATCAAGTTTACTTGGATAATTCCGTTAACAAGTTTTGTTCATTCTCTTAAATAGTAAATTTTACTGTCTTTCTCCAAGTGAAAACTGTCATTTATTAGTTAATTATATATAAAATTTACTCTGTTTTCTCTCAATATTTCCTTATAGATTGAACTGTTCTGATTAAAATAAGTTTTATACGGTAATTTATTAGTTTCATAGACCTTCCAAATTTAGTTTTATATTTTTAATGTAATTTGACTAACATAAACAATATGAATATAGTTAAATCACTGATTGGTTTTTCCATCATCACTATGGATTCATTCAAAAGCTTATCGGATAAATTAATCCGGAATATAAGTAATAACAACTCGGTTAGTTTTTTTAAACATTGACTATTCTTAGATAGAATGAAGAATTAAAGCTGCTGACGTGTGAGATACCCAGTTGAGAGGTAAAGATTTCGTACACCTGAATGGTTGTAATGTAATTTTAATGTATATTATGGCATTGAAATCCTTTATTTTGTGTAGTCTTTATAAAATGAAATATGTTGCTCACTAAAATAATCTGTTTATTTGATCAATGATTGTCTAATCCTCCGAAATCAATAAAGGAAGTGATTTCCAAAATATGTAACTAGGAGGAAGTTTGACAATATCTCGGAATCAGGTTGTGAAGATTCTTAAGTTTTGATTGAGATAATGAATCGATTGATGTTAGACCACGATTGCAACCTGGAAGCACTGGACGGCCGTTTCGTTCTATTGTGGGACTCCTCAGCAGTTCGCATCCACGATCCCGCTTGTGGTAGAGACAGGTATCTACCTCAGTACAACGGACAATGGTCACGCAAGTTCGTGGATCAGTTGATGTTAGACGTTAACACCGTTGAATGCCGGCTCAGTGGTTCAGAGGCTAAGCTTTCGCACGCGAGATCGAAGGTTCGAATCCCGCCCGTGTGATCGTCTCACAATATGGTGAAACGGATGTCCAGTGCTTCCAGGTTTTCAATGGTGGTCCAACAGTGTTGTTAAATTGAATCATTTCTCTATACATTATCAATCACTATGCACTTTATAACCATCGTTTTAAAAGCATCCAGTCAATTAAACTCTGATTTACCTTACATTTTATTTCTGTTGTTTAACTGAAGAATATTTCTTTAAATACTCCCTAACAGCCTATATTCGATTAAGTCAACCAATGCGTAACTTAACTCGTTCAATCGGAGCAAAAGGAACATTTTATTGTGATATTCTTGGTGAACCTATACCTCAATTTCAGTGGTTTAAAAATGGTGAAAAATTGTTAGAAAAACCGAATAAAATTAAAATAACCACTGCCTTATGGGGAAGCGCGTAAGTATTTTTGATTAAATCATTTTTTAATTATTTTTCTGTAAAAACCATTCTACTAGAAAGATAACAAGAATTACAGTAAAAAACCTTTGTCATAATTAAAAATACACATAGATTTCGGTACATTCGAACTTGACGTTATTGCCATCAACAGGTTACAGGCATGAATGATATGATCAATAATATTCGAAATGATGTACAAACATCCTTTCAATACATTGTTCCATATTCGTTTATTAAAGGGAAATCAGTTGAGACTAGAATCACATAGAAAGCTGCCCAAAAAATATGTTTCACTGGATGGAACTTTAATATAATTTCAACATATTGGTCATAGTTTTGACATAGTTTATACATTAGTCATATAAAATAACAGCTGAGTATCATATTCTCTAAACTTTAAGACTATTTGTGTCTTACTGAATATTTACTATCATGCATTTAACATCCTATTTTTTATTTGGAAAAACACATGAAGGAAAAGTGACTTGTCGGTGAAATTTCAAATGTAGACTGAACAACTATTCATTCTTCTGTGGTCTATCTCTAAATAGTTTGAAGCGGCAATTTTTTTCCCCTTTAACTTGTATTTCATGCTATTTCGCATCAGTTATCAATTTTTTATTACTCATAAGTAGCTAGATCATGCTCGTAATATAATAAGAGAATTCATTTACTGGAATCGCCCCACAAAAAACCATTCCTTGTACTCCTATCCACCTTTCTAAACAGTGCTCATTGTAAATGTAATAAAATTCTCTTACTATAAAAATTGTTATGTCAGTAAGGTATATTTGCCACGAGTCAATTACAATAGATTTCAGTACACTGAATTATTGCTTTTCATATCTCATAATGACAAAGTTACATTTAACATTTAATGAAATCTGATAATTAGATACTGTGAAACTAAGCTTTCATTATGCTTGACTGAGATCAAATCGGTAAAATAACAAAGAAAATATTAGTTTATTTTAAATATATTCTATATTTTCTTCATAAACCTATTTCACTACTTAAATTAGATTGTTTTCCTCTAACAATTTCTAGTTTACGTGTGGAAAAATTACATAATTCTGACATTGGGCAGTATTTGTGCGTTGCAACTAATCCATCTGGAACATTGAATGCCACAGCTTATCTGCAATTAACAAGTAAAAGTAAGCATAAAAGTTTTTGTTTCAGTATTCTGTAAAGCATATTTATTCATTCTTAGTTTTTTTTCTCTTAATAATTTATTAAAACACAGTGGGTTCTTAATTGAAAACATCTTCACTCTATTAGAAGCAACGCTTTGTTTATAAATATACGTATTAATAGATGTGAGAAAATCATTCCTTATGTTTGCCACTACTTATCTACCGATAGTATAAAAAAATTCAAACACAGTATAGTGCAAAGAGAGTTTTAAAGCAACCACGACGAATTTTCAGTCTATTCTTAAACAACTAGATGACACTCTTCTTGACAGTTAATTTAACGAAACGAAGACAGTTAGAGGACTTAATGTATAACTTAAATTATGCGCATTTTTTAAATATATTTTAGATTGTGTATAACTGTCAATTTCATTAATTATTAGTAATGGTAAGTGCTAAGCGTTCATGTTAGTTTCGATGATTTAGGTCACTCGTTTCGTACTTGTTTAGTACATCTATGAAAGTAGATTTATTGTTCTGCCCTGTAACTAGTCAACAGTTCTTATTCATAACATCTCACTATATTTAACCTAGAAAATTCAAGTTTTGTGAAAACCAGTTTATTAAAATCTGTCATTAATTTACAATCCAATCAAAAACTTAATAATCTTCACAACCCATTACTGACAATTCAGTAAAACTAGGATAGATTGAAATTAATAAGTATGTTTCATATTCCTAACATGGATAATCTCACATATCACAACTGCTTACTACAGACATTTGAGAACATATTCGAAAATTAGACATACATAATAAGTATCCAATGTATATTTAGAGAATGATTTATGAAGATCTATTCGATTATGGTATATTTATAATCAGTTATTCATAAGAACTAAAGAATTATTGGTCTTTATACAAGCAGTCTTAAAACCGTTTAGATTGCATTCATCCCTGAAACTTACTAAAATACATTTTACTCCTATAATTATTATTTTCTGTATAGTTGAACATGAATTACATATATAGGAAATAGTATACGCATCATTTTATCCACTTGGTGTAAATGAATTTATAAATAAACAGAATTTTAATTATACATGAACTAATAAATATTAAAGAGTTCACCCTTTTAGGTATATTCTTTTCCAATTACCTACAGATAACAACTAACTATACTTAATTATATATCCGAAATTTGTGAAAAATATCAAAATTATAGCTTCTTCGTCTCGTTCTTTTCCTTATATCAAACACATATAACTTTAAATATAAATAAGAATAAATTTTATTCTCCCCTCCATATCTATATTTACTAAAAATTCAGTTTATTAGCTCATTAATTAAAATCGAAATAAGTTTTGTTATTTATTTCTATACACAACACACACACAAAAAAAAGAACAATAAAAATGAAATTTATGCATTTTGAGGTAGTTTTTGTTTTTATTTTCACTGATTTTCTATACTAATTTACATTTTTATTTTTATTTTATTTTTTTTTTTGAAAAAAATATTTAAAATACATTCTATTTTTATCTGTACACTGAATTAGTTAGCCAATCCCCCCCCATCCAACGGATTAGTTATTGGTTAATTATTTTTTTTGAGAAATAAAAAAAAGAATGTCGACCTAGTGAAAATTAATTTCATTCTCTCTATATAATAACGATAAACTACAAATCATCAGCATTTAAGTCAGTCAATTAATAAAGTATCAGTATAAGGCTGTGGAGATTTTAATCGCTGAAAAATTCCCATTATATTAAAACACAATTATATGAACGAAAAATATTCTTTTCAATAATTTCTCATCAAGTTCTACAATTATAAATCTCAATTAATAATCCATAAAATCGGCCAGATTTAAGACATATTACGTCATTTAAAATTGTAACATGTTTTCCATACGTCCAATAATCATTCCGAGGTTGAAAGATAAATTGCCTAGACTAGCCACCTCTTTCTGTATCTACCAGTTTAACTGCTTCTGTGGAGCAAGTTATATTGGTAAATGTTCTAGGAATTTGTGCATTCGGGCTCGTAAGCACCTCCCCGTGTGGTTAATCAAAGGTGTAGTCAAAACGGTTAACACCTCCATTTTAGACAATCTAGTTTAGACGGGAAATACAGCCAATATAAAGCAATCTTTCGCAATAATAATCGTGTTAACGGCAGTCTACCTAATTCCGTCAGAGTGAGAACCCTACAGACGGCTGAAGCAATTGCTATTCGGATCAAAAAGCCAGAGCTTTGCATCCAAAAGAAATATGTTCAGCTACTCTTTTTACCATGGCCAACTTTGGGACCAACTAGTTAATAATCAACCTTATAATATGGTGACGTAATTTGATTAGTGTTCGTTTTATGTCCCAAACTTATTATTTTTACATGAAAATTTTGTTTTTCTAAAAGTACTAACTCCTTGAGGAAATGTGAACATAGTTAATAAAAAGGTTATAATACTAGATTACGTAATACGAATAATAACAATAGATTTAGGGAATATAATAAGATGATTATAATGTTTTTGTCATAATAATTAAAGGTCATAGAGGTGTAGAAAATAAGTAAGGTGATGTGATGATCATTTACGAATAAAATAAAATAATGAGAATATAAAACATAAGTAAAGGGGAAATGCAGTAATAATAATAATAATTGGATAATCAAAATAATTAAGGCCAAGGTAGCGATAACGATAAGACGTACTTCTTTTGTACGCATAGTTCTGGTTTAAGCTCCTGGATGGTAAGAGCTTCGGCTATTATTAAGTGTTGGATACAGAGAAATCTGGGTAGATTTGAACGAATCATATAAACAACCTTAAAGTCAATTTGTGGGTCTGTAGAATGGTTATAGTAGATTAGGTGTTCAAGCATAGAACTCCTAACTGCTTTCCTTTCACCCTTATAGAACCAAGCTGGGATATAATCTTATTATATCACTAAATCTATTGTTATTGTTATTATTCGTATTACGTAATCTAGTATTATAACCTTTTTGATTAACTGTGTTCACATTTCCTCACGGAATTAATACTTTTACAAACACAAAATTTTCATATATATACGATTGTACAGCTTGATAATAAATTCGTTGAAAAGAGATCCCTTCGCATCCAACTCCTATTAGTTTTATCTTAACCATCTTTATCATTGTTACTATAATTACACTTGATAACATTTTTGAGGAATGTATTCAATATCCACCCCTATCAACTATATTTGACCCAATTCATATTATTCTATATATTACGTAATTTCTGATTTTTATTCCATTATTTTTCGCTCACCCCATGTTGACCATATTTATTCTGACCATTCGTCACACAATTTCTTTTCGCGTATAAAATGATTCAAGTTAACACTTTATATTAGTCAACCCCAACATAAACGATTTGATTTGATTTTATATGACAAACAACAATTTTTGATTCACATGTTACAATCTTAAATGATGTACTCTGCCTTAAATCTGACCAATTTTATGGATTATTAATTTGGATTTATAATTGTAGAACCTGATGAGAAATTATTGAAAATAACGTTCCTCGTTCATATGGTTGTGGAGATTGTTGAGTTTAAATTGATATAATGAATAGATCAATGTTAGATCACCATCGTATACTTGGAAGCACTGGACAGCCGTTTCGTTTTAGTATGGGACTCCTCAGTAGTGTTCAGTGCAATTAGTAGTATGCTCATAATTATTTTATAAGTTTAACAAATACGAAAGTAATTCAACATAATGACACGATATATAGCTGTTATCTTCCGTTACTGACGTACATATATATTTTGTCAAGTAGAGTAGTTGAATTAAATCATAGAAATTATGATTGAAGTTGAAAACAGAATAAATTATGTAGGAAACTTTGAATCAATAATATCAAGGCACAAGGTGATCGATGGTAAATAAGGATATGCGAGTTAATCTTTTATCATGTTTTCATACGTATTTAGTAACAGACATCAGTGTTCAATGCACCAAGTGAGGCAATAAATTGAAGAAATAAAGCAAATCTAACGATTTTAACAGTAATGTAATGTGTAGTATCATGTCAATCCCACATGGGTTATTCTAGCTTACAGACAGACCAATTTATTCATTCTTCTTGAGTTGCATTTTGATCTTGTTAAATATTCTTTTATCAACCTTGACTGTTTTTATATGAGCGTATGTGTGTTAATTACTAATCCTATTCATTGTGTCTGTAGCTTATTTCTGTTTGACTATAAATTTGGAGTCAAGCTTGATTAAATCGAACTGGCTCACACGCCTTCTCCTATTCACTCCCTTCATTTCGTTTCCCTGATCGTCTGACTGGATCAACGAGTGTATGAAATACACATTTTCAAAATCAATTCTCGTATATGACTTATTTAAATCCGTTATTCGCCAACACGACTCAAGTCAATGATGATATACAAGGATTGGTGACATGTATATTTCAGCAATAATCAACATATGATCAAACTGGAGTCAGATACAGAGTTACTAAAGTGCTATATAAGTTTGATTTATTTTGTTAGAAAAAGTAAAAACAGTTACAAAACAGAACTGAATATACTTTTGTCCGAATGAAGTCAGTTACTAGTTTACTTAAACACGTATTAGCATAGTATATTAAATGAGCTAATGAATTACAAAAGAATGACAAAGAACTGATAACTTGTTACATTTGGACAAATAAATCAAAATTTTGAGCTCTCAGTAGCAATGGACTCATCAAATTTGACTAGATTATTATTGTTTGTAAACCACATTCAGTGATCTGGATTTTCTGAGATATATATTCTGCTAATTAGCGAAAGAGTTGCTATTTTTAATATATAATGGAGTCCACTCGAAATTTTGATATTCATATAGCAGAAGTTGTAGGGAGATGATGAGGAACTAACAAAATCAATTGAATCCATATTATTCTACCGAAATCGTTGTCTTTGCTCCTAATTATAACTATGAATAATAAATATGCCATTAACTGCGACCCTCTCTCTCAACATAGATTGACACTATACATAATCCTCTGAAAGATAAAAGATAATTGGTTAGTGGTTAGGTCTGCGCTTTTTAACCACCCTCCATCTTATGCTGTAAGCAATCTAAGGATTATTTAAATTTTGTCACAAACATAACTGAAACCGAATCGGAAACTAATACCCCATATTTCATCATTTCATTGTCGTCTCAACTTACTTTAACTATAATCCAATATTATCGATGATTAGTAGAGAAATGATTCCTTTCACAAAAACATAATTTCTCACTAGAACCTTGACATTACAAGTCTCAGATCAGAACACTAATAATCAATCAGCAATTATTCTAACTAAATGATCTGTAAATACCTATTTTTTATTATTTAGAAACATATAGTTTTCTTAAATTCACTTGGTGTTGTTTTATTTGTATCATCCCATGGTTATTTAAGACTACAATTCATCAGTCTCATGTTGATATATGTGCATTCTGTGAGGGTTGCCTCCATATAGCCTTAATTCACAAGCTTTTTAAGCAAAGATGGATAGTGGCTAACAGTGGAATCCAGGAAGCCCATTTCGTCACTTTTGTGACTTGTCAGCTGGATGTACCTACATCCCAGAGTTGATGTTTGAAGCAAACAGTACTGGATTCGAGTCACAGAGTGAACATCAACTCCAAGATGCAGGTACATGAAGCCGACAAATCCAAAGTAGAACGAAACGTACATTTTGAATTCCATGCCTAGCCACTATCCATCTTTTCATATAGTTTTCTTTTTCATGTATATTTGAAAAGAAAACATATTTCAGAAATCCAACATTATAGATGGTATTTTATAATTAATTATATAATATTCAAAAGTATTTTAGTCACTATTTTTCTTTGTATGTACATTATTACTGATAAATTTTATATTTTTCACAGTATTTTGTATGATTCTTGCCTTGATTATATTATTCTGTATACAAATCATAATCACGATACTACTGATAGTTATATCTCTCCATTCTTGTTTAACTTTGTCGTCGATGTGCTTTTACAGATAACGCTTTCCTGATCTAAATTTCCAGGGGTTAAACTTCTACCGGGAGATTCGCTTTCTGACCTAGAATATGCCGATGACATAGTTCCATTTGGTGAAGATGCTGACAAAATGCAGAGTCTTCTGACCACTATATGAAACAATGCAAGCATGCTCAGGACGCGATTCTCCCCCTCGAAATGCAAAATGTTGCTTCAGGATTGGGTTGCATCGACACCCGAACTAATGATAGGGAGTGATGTAGTTGAGCGTGTCGACCGCTTTACTTACCTTGGAAGTCTCATCAGCCCTTGTGATCTGGTGTGTGACGAGATCTCAGCACGGATACAGAAGGCTCGACTAGCTTTTGCCAACTTGCGTCATTTATGGCGTAGGCGAGATATCCGTCTATCAACCGAAGGACGTGTTTGCTGCATAGCAGTTCGTTCCGTCCTACTTTATGGCAGTGAAACATGGCCGGTAAGAGTAGAGGATATTCGTAGGTTACTAGTATTTGATCATAGGTGTCTTCGAAATATTACTCGTTTATCCTGGGACCATCGAGTAAGTAATACAGTTAGTAGATGTAGACTACCTGGTTGGGATCCGCGAGATGGTAGCAACCGATGGTTAGAGACCCTGAATGACATGGCTCAAAATCGTTTGCAATGGCGCAAGTGCATCCACTCTTTGTGTTCTCCCAAATTCTAATCTTCTAAATTCTTCATGTCCCTTTTTTTCTCTTTTCAAATTTATTTCACTGTATTATACTCCGTGAATAACATCTTCTAACCCTAATGTTTCCGATTACTGCTTATACTTTTACTACCTCTAACACTACGGAATTTAAGTCGACAGCTGCATCTCTGTGCTAATTTGGTGTGGCGACTCGAACTGATGTACGTACGTACGAAGTTCTAAGTTGTTACTGACTGACTAACTGAATCTTATTTATACGAGTCAATTTTTAATTAATTCTTTAAAATTTTCTTCTCTATTCTTTATTTTCCATAATAATTCTTTCTTCTTTTATGACAAACTAGAAAAATGACAAACTGTTCATGTAATCAGTATATTCTTTATATACAAACATTAAATAATTCATATACTAATAATAATAATCAATGTCACGCAATCTAACAATGTTTTTATTGTTTTACACTCAACAAATTATGTTTTTTATTTCTATCTTTGTGACCATTATTGTTCGGCATGTAAAAAAAGAAAAAAGAAAAAAGGAAAACGATGACATTACCAGAATGAAATGAATAACTAAATATACCCCTGATGAAATGAGTCATTTTTCTCAAAATATGTTAATTTTTTAACTCGAATTTTAAGCAATCCCTACATATATGAGCACTTCAAATAATTAGTTTCCATTTATTCAGATTTGAGTATATATATATATATATATATATATATATATATATATATATATATATATATATATATATATAACATTCAGGAAATTGTCCAAATATTAGTTTATGTCAGTATAAAATAGTTCCCGCTGGAAAATTTTTCACAAATGAAACTTCACTTATTAACCTTAAAAAAACACATACGAAAACTTGAGGTAGTTTAGAAGTAATAGTTTTACACTTTGAAATTGCACTATTGAATTTCGATGGAATCATACTGTTCATTTAGAATTCTAAATCTCACTATTTTATATTTCTTTTCATCTTGATTTGACTGGAAGTGTTTTAAAAAGAAACAAACAATCTATCTATTGTTTCTAACCAGATACACAGTAGTATGCTATAATGATTTTTAAATAATGGTAAATATTAATTTCAATAGTTGAAACCTTGAGTCAATTGAAGATAGAAAAACCTGAAAGCACTGGATAGCCGTTTCGCCCCACTGTGGGACACCTCTGTAGTACGCATCCACAGTCCCACCTGACGAGATTCGAACTCACGATCTATCGGTCTCGCACGCGAATGCTTAACCTCTCAATTTTGCTCAATTTCGTGGATTAGTTGAAGTTAGACATTAACACCGTTGGATACCGTCTCAGTGGTCTTGAGGTTCGCACGCGAGACCGTTAGGTCATGTGTTCGAAGTTCACGAGGAGGGATCGTGGGTGCGCACTGCTGAGAAGTCCCATACTAGGACGAAACGACCGTCCACTGCTTCCAGGTTTTCCATGACGGTCTAGCTTCGATTGACTCATGATCTCAACTATTAAAATTTATGAATTTATTATATTTTCAATTTTTTTTCTCAATTTTTTCTCTATATCGCCTAGCTTCCAAGTCAAATATACTTGTGAAACCAATTTTACAACAAGAAAATCAATATCTGTAAGTTAATCGTAAACAAATCATATTTCTAATATCAACTTTATTCTAATAATCTTTAAACGTTTAATATCAACGTTATATTCAACAGAATTTTGACTTGATATAATTTAAAGGAAATATAAGTAAGGCAAATAGTATTTGAACAATTATATTGTATTATTCATTCAATGAATTTTTTTCTATACAGTCATTTTGTGAGTAGTGCCTAGTTGATATAACTAGAAATAAAGTGTCAGCAACACGATATGCAGTTAACACATACTTTTTCCAATGTTTGACAAAATGCAAACATTTTTAAGCGATTTTTTTGTTCATTTATTGGATGACTGCAGAATGAAAGAGAACAATTTTCAGTAAAGATTGTCTTTTCAGACCCTGGAGCTAATGAAATATATCTCGTATGAACACGACACTGTATGTAGCTTTTGTATCCCAAGCAAATACAATGAATTCAGTTAAAATTGTAGAATATTTACTATGTTACTACACACATTTACTAATATAATAAGTGCTAGTTACATAGAGTCATTTTATGATAAGCGAATGTAGGCCCTTCAACTAATCATAACACCAACTTCAGTCAACCCAAACAAAATTGATGAATAATTGTTAGGTAAGGCTGATTTCTATGAATTTTGTATGACATTAAAGTAATTTCTACAACTGACTGATGTTTTCCGAAAAAAACATTGAGTACTGAACAATTTTTTGTTCTAGTTTAAGCCTCTTCAGGAGCATTTTCAAACGACCGCACATGGAACTGAACTAGGTACCTTTAGGTTTCACAGTTATATGGATTAAGATTTTTTTAAATTTAAAATTCAAGAACTTTTCTTTGTAATTGTTATATCTTGTTAATGTTATAACAATTGACGACGGGGATGGGATTTGAACCCACGACAGGGCATGTCTCTGAAATGGAAATTTCTGGATCACTGGGCAAATCATGAATGACTGCTGCTACTTCGTTTACGTCACCGCTTATCAAGGATTCACGGAGGCTTTAATCGACATGTTCATACATTCCGCAGTCATTTTACAGCTCTGTATGCAAATTAGAAATTAACTCATCAACTGTCACATCTCCAAAACATGAATGACCTAGCAGCCGTGTGCGTAAATTGTCCAAAAAATTCAACTGGCTCTTTTTGAAACGCTGCTGTTGTCGCTCAAATAGCAACTGTAATTGATTGGAAGGGATAGCCGTTTTTTGAATCAGCACCGTAATGAAAAATACTGTATAACTAATTTACAATCAATGTTGTTCAAGGACACCGGCGAGAATTTCGCATGCCGATTGCTCGAAATAATTACACTGAATTTTGTTCAGTCACAGGCTGACCTTGATTCTTTAATTTGAAAACTGAGGGTTCAAAATTCTTTTTCACCCCGTCGCCAAAACCACCCACTTTACATTTCAACAGTACATTATACTCATTCATAAATAATATACCAACAAAATATAATACATATGATCAATTAAGTTAGAAAAAGTAGATTGATAGGTAATTTCAAGGCGTTCACAAAACTAAGGTTTAATGTTTATAAATTATTTACAGTTATTAAAAGATATATCTTGCTATTTTACACTGGAAAGACATGCAATGAAAGTAGTCAAGTAAATGTGAGTTATGTTGTGACCATTTATATTATTTAGCTTAACTACCAAAACCACTTCTCATTTATAGACAGTAAATATGCTTACTATGAAATTTCTCTATGCATAAAGCCTAGTATTACGCCCGGAAAACACATAGCGTTTTTTTTCAAAGCTTTATATAAAACAGTATGAAAATAAAAATTGCACACTAGTAACAAAATATGTTACTTTTGGAAGGTAAAGTGATATATACAAAAAATAACAAACCATTCTGTTACGTAAACGTTTTTTTTTTGAAAACATGATAGGCTGCATAAAAATAAATCCATTAAGAATAATCAATGTTGAAAACTTGTGAAAAGTGTTCTTTTTGGAACATTAGCACGTCAGGTCAATAACTTGAATGTAGTGTAGATCAGTCAAACAAGTAGTAACTTAACACTTTAAAATTTCACTGATAATTTGCTTCAGTATTTCGCTATTATGTAAATCAAACTTTAATCTGTTAGATATTACTAATTTCTTCATGTTTACTCCTACATCCTGTTAATTAATTCTAATAATTGGATAAAGCTTATGTCTATATCAATGTGTTAGTAACTAGTAAAAACTAACTCTCCTATTAGTATCTTAATACTAATGATCACAGATGCAATTTAAATGTAGATTTCAATATTAATTTAATTTATAATGGTTTGGATCATTGCACTGATGATATTTTGACTGAATTTCGATCAATCTTACTTGATTTTAGTGGATTATATGCGGAATGTCTCCATTAGGCAAATAAGCCAAATTTATATAGATGTAGTGAAGTTAGCGGTGGAATCCAGGACACTTACATTATCCTACTTTGGACTGGCTGGATGAATGTGCCGGGACAATCCAAAACATTACAAACTAAATAAAAAATTGTACCTTTTGCACAAATTAGTAGTTATATGAACTTAATAGCTAAGTGGATAACGTGTTGGCATTTGAAGCTAAAGATAATGAGTACGAATCCCCAAGTAAATATCGACTCTGAGATTCAGGTATGTTTCATACGGGACAAAGCAGACGTTCTAGCTTTCATTGCTAGCCACATACCATCCAATCTGTGTTAATTTGAATAGTTTAGTAAAATGACAAACAAAATAATGTATTTAGCAATTTTAAAAACTCCCGGTCATAATTATAATTCATTTTCTTACCTAGATACAATGTTGTAATTACACTGTCTTAATTCATAGTTTCTTTTTGCTGGAAGATGAACAGTAAACTTATCTTATTCAGTTTTCATGTTATTGGCAATTTTCCTCTTTATTTGTTTTGCATCGGAAGTTACTCCTATGATTAAGAAGGTATGTTGTTAGGGTTATAGCAATCAATGTTTCTTCCCTTAGGCTTTAATTTTCTTTTCCATCCGTTTATATATATATAGGTAGATAGCGTGAGACTTCAGAAGGTTCAAGTGCTTGTTTTTATTTACTGTAAATAAAGTTTCATACATGTAAATGACTAACCTCAGATTTAGTTTGTTATCACCCTTACGTACATCTGATTGTCTCTCTTAATAGCTGTCCGCCGTCTGTTTTGTTAGCATATTTTATCGCTGATAACATTCAGTCAAATAAAAAAAATTTTATACCACCTTAACTCATTTGTATTATAGTCTGAGTTTAAACCTTGGAAGACTCTCATGCAGTTTTCATATCTTGTCTGTCAACTTATGTATGCATTTATCACAGTTGTCGTAACAAACAGTATACAGTTTCAGAGAAACAAAGTTTCTAAAAAATATTGAGTTCATGCAAGTGTACTGAAGTCGTGATCTTTATTTTGGTGCTCTACCTCCACAACACACAAAAATACGTACGGTATACGTCCGAAACGTTTACTGAAAATAGACTAGTTACAATGTCCAGTTATTATTATCATTAGTATTATTATTATTAAATTTGTTTTATGCATTCAATATGCATAGATGCTGATGGAACTATTCTGTACCTTATCCAATGTGAAAATAAAAGTACTCTGCTAAACTTCCGCCAAAAGCCCTTTTATATAAAATCAACTTTAGATTTATACATAATTCTACACATAAACACCTTATCAAACTACTTGCTAACAAGTGATTGGAAAGCTGTAATTTCTGAAACTAGTCAAGTTGACAATACGACAGTAAATCAACAAGGACATTAAATGAAAATCATTGTTGACCAAAAATTGACTGAAATAAAACTTCTAAATCACTGAATTCCAGCATATCTGTCGAGAAACAAACATTTAGTTCTCCTATGCTCTCAAACCTCCTCCAGCTTCTATCACTTTCGTATAAAAATTCCCTTCAGCATATGTCAAATATATATATCTACCAGTATAATGTACCATGAAATCTATTTAATCATTTAAACAGCCCTTCAAATATATCTGCCGAAGAGAACATGAACTAATCTGAAATCGCGAATCCCATAAGTGAAGTTTATTATTCCTATAAAGTGTTTTTACAATTTAAGCCATAAAAAAGATGCAAATAGAAATAATGGGAAGTCTATATCCAAAGTCTTGAAAGTATACATGAATAACAAATTAATTTATCACTAATATTCGTACATATCATTGATTATACAAACTCATTGTCCAGATTTAGACAATTTCATATTATGGTATTATTATTATTAAAGTTCTAAAATCAAGCTCTTCTTCAATGACAAATAAGTTAATCTAGTAATCACATTTAATTCCCTAAATATAAGATTTTTATATACTTTTTTGGTACTTACAAAGTTAATGAAGTTGGAAGGTTCACAATGGTGAAAGTCTCGAAATTATTATACATAATAAACATTGAGGATCTAATGAACTGGGAAAAATCACACTCATTTTTTAAAAAATCTGGTTTATTCTACATCTCATGTATTTTCAGGTTCATTCTTATCACTCAGTACTACAATTAACAGGTTATTGTTTAATTATTAAGTCCTATGCTAACAAAACAAAACAATCAACTTAGCGGGAGAATCATTATATAATCTCTATTTTAGGTGGAGAACAAAACTCCACCAAAATCATCCACCTGAGCTACAAATCTTCTCCACCATCTCATAAAATCTCTTTGGAAGGACTATTATAAAATTTAGAAGAAATTCAGTATTTTATTGCCTTTTTACTCTGACTTGAGGAAAGTTCTACGTATTATCTAAAGTTCAGATGTATTTTCTTAAACTTAGCAAGTATTTTATCAAATTCTTTTCCTAAAATTTTCAAGAATTTCCCATTATTGATTGCCTATATAATTACTCATATAGTTAAAAGATCTTGAATCGAATACTTTAAAAGACAAAACTATCCATTACAGGCATCATTAAATCAGAAACAAGCACATTTTTAGTAATCTCATAAAGTTGCTTAGGTCGTCTACTTCATAATAAATGAGACCTTCACTTATTGTTATTGAGAAAAGTAAATTATCATCCATCATTAACTGATTATTCTGAAAATAATAATAAAGCTTAATGAATAACAAAGCCACAACATTATTTCAGAAATTTGAATTATTTGTTTGTTGATTCTTATCATCTTGACTTTTATGTCAAGCGCCCGATTCTAATTTTCATTTCACTAAAACAAAATAAAATTGTTAAAAGGTTCTATTTAACAAAAGATAAGTATAAGCATCTTTTTCTGCTTGTTTTCCATATATATATCATCATGATGACTCATTTATTACTTTTAAAAAGCTAATAAATTATCATTATTTCTGGTAGTAGTAGTAGTAGTAGTAGTATTACTCGACAGACAGAAAAAAAACAGTTTACTTTCAATACTGTTGTTATACAACAAATAGACATTATCCTGTATGAAAATGAAATGACTAAAAGCTTTTTCTGTCATTTGTTTCTATTTATGCCAAACATTGGATATAATTCTCTACAAAATATGAAATAGGATTATATGGAAAAAAATTACATTTCTTTTAGAACACATACATCCATACTCCTTTATTTATAATCTTCATCTTCAATAACTTCTTTTTTCATATATGCCATTCTTAGAATATAACAAAACAAATAGTGAAAAGAGAAAATATAAGTAAAATATTACAAATGTGCTGGTCAAAATAACTTCATTGTCATCATTGATCTTATAAATAAAGCTTTATAACTGACATTTTGAAGACATTTACATTGACTTGATGAATTGAAACTATTCATTTATGAATGTACTAAAAAAGACTAATACTAAATTATTATCGTGATTAATAACTAGGTTATTCGTACTAATCAATGAATGATTACATGTGTCATTGGACCTTCTTGATTGTTAATATTAAAGACTAGCAATCCAGATATTCAAAGCTGTTATCAAGATTCAGGATGCATAAAGTTTAGTGTTAAATATGACTTAAAATTCTAATGACCAAATTGTCTATACTGTTATAAAGCAAATAAGAATAATCTAATATATGATATTTTTCATCCGCTTCTCTCACTCAGTTATCGATTAATTTAACCGTGATTGATTTGGGCTTAGTTAATCATAGTGACCAGGATAAAGATCGGTTCTCATAAAGAATAGTTGTCTTTTACTTCTCATGCATTGAAATCAATAACTTTACTTATACTTTACACACGCAGATTATGATATTAACATGGAACTATTTTAAGCATCCTATTTTGAAGCGCGATTTCTAGATAATGACTCACAGATGCATTGAGCTCATCGGTATCAAATAAAACTAAACGCTCAAGCTCAATCCCACTAGTAACTAATAACAGAAGAATTATAAGCCTATATAAATCAAGCGATATCAGGGTATCCCTTAGAGAAGTTCATACAGTCATAGAATATTAATAATTGATTCATAAATATCAACAACAGGTTAATAAAAACTTTTGCAATGTATAAAACATTTCTTTTCATAGATTTTTTCTCCGATTGTTTGAAAGTATCGTTAAACAGTAGCATTTACTTACCTATATTATTCCTGTTTATAAAATATAGTATGAATTCAATAACTGCTGAATCTGATGGTTTCTGTCAAGAATTTCATAGTAATGTCTGTGGTAAATACCTTATGGGTCATCGTGTCTATGTAACAAGAGAATTTCAACAAGCTCTTATAGAAACACAAATATCTAAATGTAAGTTCTAATATTTGATATATATATATATATATATATATATATATATATATATATATATATATATATATATATATATATATATATATATATATATATATATATATATATATATATATATATATATATATATATAATACTTTTCAGATGTATCCATGTTGAAGTAGCTTTTAACAACATTTTTAATTATACATCATTAAAATGAATACAAGATGAACTTTCCCTAAATTTTTTCCAGTGATTTATGTAGGTTTGTAAGATCCAATTTATGTTCTCAGTGTGATTTAACATTACTATCAGTTCAATAGTCAAATATGATAATTTATGACTTTTGTAACTCATGCTACCCATTGTATAAATTCATTTGGTGTTGTTTTATTTATATCTTCTCATTGTTATTCAGGATTGCAATTGGTCAGTCTCTTGTTGGCATATATGCATCCTGTGCGGATCGCCAGGATATTGCCTTAGGTGACTAGCTTTATAAGCCATCATCTGTTAACTTCAGTCTCTAATCGATCTCTCTACCTAAAGTTTACATTAAATTATGTGGTTGATGGAACGACTAATGAAAATATGACAACTTATGATATACATACATTTCATTTTCATTTTCAGTGTTGTAATACAATAAATTAACACTATATGGCAATTAGTAAATAGAAGAGGATTTGATATCTTGGCCTTGATAAAGTAGAATGTCCTCTGACAATAAACGTATCTAAAATCAATGGTAATAGTAATACACAATTCAAAATAAATGCTCGAATGATTTTCCTTGTAGTAAACTTGTAGTAAATTAAATCTTGTTTAAATCTTAAGTCCTAATATTTATTTAAACAACTGTCTAATTTCCTGTAATCCGAAAATAAGACTATTTACTGATGGCTACAACTATACGAAATATACTAAGACAAATCCACTTGGTGTTGTTTTATTTGTATCCTCCCATTGTTATTTAGGACTGCAACTGATCAGTCCCATCTTGGTATATTTGTATCCTATGCCGATTGCCTTGATATAGCCTTAAGTTACAAGCTTTTTAAGCAAAGATCGATAGTGGCTAACAGTGGAATTCAGGACGCCCATTTCGTCATATTTGGCACTCGTCGGCTTTATGTGTCTACATCCGAGTTGATGTTCATGCCGGGAATCGAACCTAGTACCGTTCGCCACCACGTTATCCACTTTGTTACTGAGTCCTGACAGCCACCTGCTTGTGCAGTGGGAAGATATAAGTAAAACAACACTAAGTGAATTTAAACTTCACCTCATTACACAAGTAGGTGCCTATAAGGACTCAGTAACAAAGTGGATAATGCGATGGCGTTTGAAGCGAACGGTACTAAGTTTGAATGCCGGCGTGAACATTGACTGTGGTATGAAGATACATCTATCTGACGAGTCTCAAATAGGACGAAACGCTCATCCTGTATTCCACTGCTAGCCACTATCCATCATGATCTAGCTGTAAATTGTATCCGATGAAAATATTATATAATTAACTAGTTATTAATTTATATTATAATACAGTATCCAAATCCATCTATTTAAGCATAAAACAAGAAACATGATCTAGACTTCCTGCTTTATCTTCAGTATTATTTTATTCTTCGTCAGTTTTCTGACCAGTTCTTTCATGTATAATAAAGAAAATTATAGACATTTCAAGTTAACTCTACAATCGTTTACTTATTTTATAATCATTTATCAATTTCATATGAATCAATGAAAATAGATAAATAAATAAGTGAAAATCTAACTTAACATATAACACACACACACACAATATTTGGTCACAACCAAACCATTCAGCTTAGTGAATAAATCTACATCAAAAATTATCCAACTGAGTTATAAATCTTATCCATTATCATATGATATTGATTAACACGTTAAAACGAATCTGTTCAAAGTATAAATTGTAAATAAGAAAAGTACTGTCTTGTCAACTTTATTTAGTTGTGGTAATAGAGTTATTTTCTTTTTCTTTTTCTTCTTCTTGTCATTTGCTTTTCGATTTGTGTTATTTATGACTTAGTTTTGTTTTTCATGATAATAAACATTGACTTTACTTTATGTAAACTAATAAATTATGTTTAATTGAAAACTATAATTTTGTGCAGTAATTTTTAAATATCATATTCATTATACATTAAAATTTAAAATTCAAAGTCTTCTAAACTACTTTTGAAAATAAGTAGTAAGACACAAATTTTAAATAAATATGGATATTTTTAATTTTAATAGTTGAGATCGTGAGTCAATCGAAGTTAGACCACCATGGAAAACCTCGAAGTACTGGACAGCCGTTTCGTCCTATTGTGGGAATCCTCAGCAGTGTGTATCCACGATCTCGCCTGGCGAGATTCAAACCCAGGACATATCAGTCTCGCGCGCGAGCGCTTAACCACTAGACCACTGAGCCTGCATCCAACGGTGTTAATGTCTAACTTCAACCAATCCACGAAATTGAACGACACATCCACCATTGTCTTCGGTGAGTTACTATCTCTCGAATCTTATGAGGAGAGGTCGTGGATACGCACTACTGAGGAGTCCCACAGTAGGACGAATCGGCTGTCCAGTGCTGCCAGGTTTTCCATGGTGATCTAGCTTCAATCGACTAATGATCTCAACTTTTAAAATTACTATAATGTCCACAAAACCCATTCAAATATAGATACGATCATCTGATATTTAACCTTGATTAGAATTCGGTTTCACTATGTTTAACTATCTCAGCTGGTTGGGAAAGAGAAATGCAATTCAAGTGCTAGCCTATTTTACTATTATAAAAAAGTCAGCTATCATTTTTATAGATATAAGTTACTTAGTAAGTATTTATCCACACTTTTCATTTTCTAAAAGTGTCTATCTAAAAATATATTTCAAGCAATTCCGATAAATACAGTAATGTCGCTTATATTAAGTATATATCTCTTCCTTTCCCCTAATGACATTAGGCTTACGCGGATTTCTTAAGTTTAAGATAATTGCACCGCTGACTGACTTTATCTATACACCCACTTAAAATATGGCAGCTCTAGACAGTCGTTTGTCTTAGTACATGACTCCTCAGTTGTAGGTTTTCGTGAGCTATCTATCTATCTAATCCTTTGTAATGGTGCTTTCATCTGCGGGAATAGACGATGGTTACGCATAAGAGTGAATTGACTGCAGTTAGAATTCCAAATCAATAAATGGCAATTTCGGAATCTTAGGGATGAATAGTCAACCTGAAGATCATAAGTTCCATGCATTGCGTCATCGTGAATGTCCATTTGTGCTTTAACTAAAGCTAGTCAGTGATGTAGACTATCCTCAATAACCGGATACCTTAGACTTTGATATAAACTTTGTACTTGGATTTACTGTCAGAATATCTGTGTATTATGAGTTATATTATTATTATGTCTTGTAATTTAACACCACAGACGGTGTTTCTCTTAAACAACGTAGAAAAACAAGCACCTGTTTGACCTAATTATTTCCTAAACTTTCCTGTTGATCAAAAATGTATCACTATACATATGGAAGTATGGAAACTGTTTTCGTTTCGATTCCTTTTAAAGTCATCTTTGTAGTGCTGACGTAGAAAAACAGGATTTTAATAATGACGGATTTTCATTCTAAATTAATTACTAAATAATACTTACTATCATATCATAGTCGTTAATAGAGATTAGAGGTATTTGATCAAAATAAATCAATTCATCTGGTGGTAAATATTAAGGGGTTAAAGTTTCGTGTCTTTGCTTCCTAGATCTTTAAAGCTTATCTATAACCCCCATAAAACTCTTTACTCTCAAAACAGGTCATTTTAATAACTTCAAACATGCTATTGTATAAAACATGATCTAGAAATAGTCAAAAATCTGTTTAGATCACAGAAAAGAGCAAAAGCGTACTTTTAACTTAGTTTGCTAATGGTGACGTTTTCGATGACATACTAGCTACTATTTACAATAAAACTTCAGAACATCAATGATAGTAGTAAATGGGCATCAGATAGCTAAAGAAATATAATCTATGTGAGTAGGTAATGACATAAGTAAATTGGACATCAAATGAGGTATTATTTATTTCTTTGTGCACATGGGATGGAAATAATGTGGTTACTCGAACAAACCGATAAAATTCTAAAGGATATCCATATTCGCATCATTTCACATTCATTCTTTTGGAATAACATTCTATGACACCAGAAATAACACAACAGAATTATTCCACTACTAATCACAAATGAATTCCATTATTCGGTGGTAATTCGAACAAAAACCCTATTTCATATCAACAGTCACTTTTCAAAGAAGACCAACCCTCTTAAATCACTTTAATCATGTGCTCAAAAATTATTATATAAGAAAATCTATAGAGATATCCTTATGGACATTAACGTATTTTGAAAATTAAATGTTATGGTAAACAATGACTTTAGCAAACAACAAATTCATCCATTAGAATTCACAAACAAACTCTTTCAATTATTAGGTTATTTTTAACAGTCACTACATACTTGTAAATTGTTTGCTTCCTAAAAATCGAACGGTAACCTTAATATTTACTATCTAAAGTTAAAAATTATAGCTTACCTGGCCAAAAGTCTCGTGGTAGCTAAATCATAAGTCCAGAAATAAGTTCTTTGTAACCGGAAAAATCTTTTAAACTATTGATAAGCCACCCAGATGGAGGTACAGTAAAGTGACCAAATCATCAGATCCACATAAATTATTATTAAGGTGTAGCTGTGTAATCGCATAGTTATTTTTTCATATTTTTTGTCAATTAATTCATTTATTATAAATGATCTTGGAGCTATTAGGGAAAATCCTAACGACTAAATCACTCTAGACTTCTTCACAACTAATTACCAGTAAAAATACATCTCTGTACATGATCTCATATATATATCCTATGATATATAAGGTTTAAACAATAAACGGTGGGGAGAGTCAGCTCTCCTTCTCGAAACGCTCTCACATGGCCACACTTATATAAACACTTCCAGGAAAGTCCTACTCACTTCCTCCTCGCAGCTGTTGTTTACTAAATCGAAAAGCGAATGTCCAGAGCTTTAACTGGGTTGGTGGATGTAGAGGATCCACCTAGGAGGGTTGGAAAACCCTGATTCAAAACCAATCACGCACATGGGCTCCAGGATTCTAAGGGAACAAATGTCGTATGAACCAATTGTTGTTATTTGTTTCCAAAAGTAAAATAAAAATGAATGAGTAAAATTGCTATTTCAACTAAGAATTTGATTGATTTTACTAATTCAGAACAGAAGTTGGAACCACTAGACAGAATAGGTTGTTAACCCCTTGTGATTTTATTTATATGAATGATATGATTGCTGACTAGTCACGATTAAATCTAAGTCACAAATTATCAAATAGTCTGTTTATATTTCGTTCTATTATTTTTTCTTCATGTCTTAATTTGTAGAATGTTATGCATAAATTATGCTTTCCAATTTTAGCTACTGACATTAAACGCAGTAGTAAAAATTTCTGTTCAAAATAATCTTTACAAGAAAAGATGGATTTCAAAATGTTACACTCATTTCGATGCCATTTTCACTGTCAAACGAATTAGAATGTGGTGTTTATTAACCTAGAAATCCAATCTCCAAGCCGAAAATGTACACTGATGACTGCTCAGGGATACAAGGTTCTGAATATGATTTAAGTTCATGGGGATAGTGAACATCTTTCGAAATATTGGTTGTATAGATGAATTAGAATATTGTTAATAAAATCACATTCAAAGTTCGATCTTAACAACAGATTTCTCTTTTTCGTACTTTTCTGCGCCTCTTCAGGGTAGCTGTTTAAGTGCTTATCAAATTTCAATGTTTTCCATAGCTTATCTCATTTTCTTATTTTATAAAAGAGATGAAATTGCAAAGATGAATTTAATGGTCACAACCCTTACCTATATAAATATATACAGTTACATTAGTCATGATATTAAAATTCGAAATAATAATCTGTTCTCATCTTTTTTCAACAGTAGTCACTTCTTATTCGTATTATAAACTAATATATTGCTATTATCACTATTACTATTGTTATTCCTTATTTCTTATAGTTCTTAAGCTTACTGCAACTCAATCACTACATCGTGTACGAGAAGATTGTTTAAGACGTTTAATGGAAGCAATTTGTTATTACAATTTTCCAGTGTGTTTAGAAACAAAACCAGTTTCTTTTGAAAATGATGTTTCAAGCGAAACACAATCATTAAATGAGAACTCCATGCGTTATTTATATCAGACACGTCATTTATGCAGACAAGAATGCGAAAATGTAATGCAAAATGAATGTGGACCAACATACGACTATTTGGATAGAAAAATTCTGTATGACTGTAAGTGACATATATATGTATATAACTTTCCTAAAAAGATTAGCCCTGCACTGAATTTGTAGTTTACGGACTACGAAATCAGCATTAACAAGGATCTCTAAGTTTCAATATATTACTCACCAAGTTTTGTCTAATGCTATTTTTTTATAATCCAAGAAGAATTGAACAGTTATTTCATATCTAAACACTTCATCAGTACACACACTTACTACCCCATATGCAATCGAACTACATGCATTTATTCATTACAGTTGGATACAGCATTTTTAAGCCACTGTGCTGGAACCTAATAACTGGACTCGATTTTTAAATAACTCGATATACACATCTATTCGCTATCTGTATATTGTAAACAGAAATTCTCAGTGAATAGTCTGTTCGTAATTTTGAAACATATTAAGAGTTTGTCCTTCCTTTAGCAAACAAGACACTACAGCGTCAATCTTAAGAGAAAGAAAAGAAGAAAATATCCTAGAAAGATATTGCAGGATTGTTAAATGACATCGATAGTGTAACGTACCCAGTTGTATCTTGGTGAAAACCAGAGTTCTGTTATTTGTAGCTTCAGGCTCTATGACATTATATTTTTACTACCCTACACGTGATCTAACCCGGATATGAAAGCGTCCATAACGTCCTGATACCACTCCATTAAAACCCAATAAGCTACAATTTTAACTTAAATCTTTATCTGACATCGATTGATATCGAAGATCAGAGTATTCCTCTACAAGTTTTGAAAGTTGATCTCAAAATTATTCATCAACTACCATGTAAAATTGGTTCATGATTACGATGACCATCGGCTTATTTTTGTCTTTATTCTACTTCCGATTCATATTCGCTTAACTGACAAAACCCTTTTCAGTTATGCTAAATTTCATGAGTGATGAGACCATAATTTATGGACTACATTTGAGCGACGCTAAAGTGACCTTTAAAGTGTCTAACTACTTATTAGGGCCAAATGAATGTTATAAAGCAGTTTGAAGAATAAGGATTATGAAACACAGTTGATGATTAGAATTAGGACTTAGATTTACGGATTTTCATGACGAACTGACATCAGCTAAAATGCCAAGAGGCTATTTGGCCAAATGGGTGAGTGAATTTCGCGCCAAAATCTAAGAGCTGTTATTCTAAACCTGATTGGTCCGTTTATGAATTATAGTCTCACCATATAAGTTGCATAAAGCTAAATTGGTTTAATATAAGCTCTACGCACTAATGGCATTTTACTCTTAAAAAGAAACTAGATTTTTTAAACTTTCATAGTTTCTGCGGATCACAATATAAACGAAATGTTTTAAACGTCTTCTTCGTTTCATCATTCAGGTTGATACGTTTCTTATTAGTTATTTTCAAAAATCCATTGTCTTCTAGGGATATTTCTGTTCGAATGCAAAAAGTTTAACGTATTATTTTTTTAACAACAATGAAAACTATTTCAACAATATTTTTCTCAAAATTTAGTACCGGAAATGATTATGGATTGTTCACGTCTACCGATTTATTCACTGGATAATCCACAAACATGTCGTCGTATAGGTGAACCTTTGATTCTGTCAGAACAAAGTAAGTTAAATCTGACGACTATAATTTTCTTTTATTTCAGCTTTTGATAAACTGTACTAATCTTTCACTTTATACATGATCAGTGAATTATCAAGGAATTCTAACAATTGAAATTATTATTGTATTATGGATAAGAGTGGGATTCAGGAAGCATGTTTCACTTTTTGAGACTCGTCACTTGAATGTAATTGGGCAATAATGTTGTGATTTTAAACAAGTATCTATTATTTTAAACAGTAAAACGTTATCCATCAAGGTATTGATTTCCAAAATAGCCAGTAAATTACTCATTGTGTGCTGAATTATTCTTAGAACTTAGATTTCTTTCTTGTCTACTTTACGGATTGTAATCGATTAACCTCTATCGGTATACGCGCATCATGAACGGACTACTTTGATATTGCTACTTAGTTACAAATTCTAGTAAAGTTCTATTGTGGTGTAAAATGACCAGTTTTTAAGCAAAGTTGCTTTAATGACAAAATGACATAGCAAATTATACATTTTTCTTTGTTTAACTATTGTTGGGTAACGTTTCATGACAAAGAGATGAAAAATTTCCTTTATTGACTAACTAATAAAACTAAGAATTTTTCACGTTACTGTTAACAATGATTCCAAAGAATGCTACGGAAACTGATAAATGTTTAAAAAAATGTTTAATGAATACCAGATACTAATCTGTTTATGACTTTTAGTAAATCTGATTGGTTAAACTCACAAATTACTACTTGTCTAATTAGGTTTTCTTAAAGGCTTCCAGAAAAATAAAATTACTTATAATCATCTATTTAAATTCTGGTTTCTGTAATTAAATTCCATTCGTATAAATAACTATTTTTGAGAAACAAGGTTTGTCTAATAGTATGAGCTTTCTTGTCTACGGAGAGTTTATTATAAAAAAAAAGTACTTAATCCTCAGATTTCACAAATCTTACTTGAATGATAAATATTTCTGGTAATAATGGATGCCAATAGTCAACCAGTGACTAAATTTGCATTTATATTATACTAGTAACACAAATAAAAGAAGCTACTTTCGAAATATTCCTGTAATTGTTAATATTGATTTTTAAAAAAATGTAAAATCAATCATATTGAAGTCTTCACACGAAAGCATTAACCTACTAATTAGAATTATCATCAATTTAAAAGTAACAACTGGTGCTTAGATTAAGTGAACTACTTTCTGTGCTAACGAGTTTACTACTAAATCATTATGTCACATCTTTAAATTATGGAGAATAATAACAAGGAATCATGTGTAATTACTTTTTAAAAAATAATCTGAAACCAATTAAAAGTGATGTGTTGTAACCAGCAACTTACATAATTTTTGTTCGATCCTTGAGCATAAACATATGTAAGATCTTTATATATATAATTTTTGAAATTTCCCTTTATAGTATCAGAATACAGACAAGATAATGATGGACAATTCTGGGAAGAGCATAATATGGCGGCACCATCATCTGGTCATTTGATAGAAAAGAATGGAAATGGTGTCTTATCATCTAGTCAAGACTTAAATACTGCGTTATCAACTGGTCCTGATTTGTTACCTATTTTTGTTTCATTTGGGGCATTAGCATTATTGGGTCTTGTTCTTCTTGCTGTATGTTTTCTCTGTCGACATGGTAAAAGTGATTCACCGCGTTTAACAACAGATGGTTCAAGTTTCCTAGGAAGGTCACGTATTCGCTCCAACTGTCGAGGCAATCGTAATTGTTCTGAAACTGAAAGATTGGACGGATTTCACGTGAGAGGACAAGGAGTTGGAGCTCCTAATGACTCAAACCATGGCAGCAAGCAAAGGAGGGTCCCTGGAATGGGAGCTGGTATTAAACTGGGTGGTACGAACGGTTTCCTAAATGGTATGCAAGAAGCTTACACAACTACATATTGTGGAAGTAATACGATTTGCAGCACAAGTGATGCGAATGCTATGAGCGCACCAGCTACGGTTGGGCATAACAGTGTTTCTTCCAATCTTAACAACACAAATGGAGTACTTAATGACACATCTATTTCTGCGGTTGCATCCGCTAAACATAATGGTTCTGCGACGTATTTTCAGTATCAAGCTTCTAACTTTTTGACCCCACAATTGCCTCCTCCTCGAGCCCCTGCACCGCCACCCCAGGATCACAATGTTTAACGACACAATCACAAATAGGCATTACAGCAATTGCACCAACATCAATCCCATTTAGTATGACCGACCCATCATATAATGCACAGTCATTTAATCAGTCTATCCACTTGCCATTAAATGGTGATATAATTCCAGAGGTAGGATTACATTATGAAAGGAAAGCTGACGCTGAAAGCCCAGCGGCTTATACAACACTTAGAAATGCTAGTCCTAATGAATTCTTGTTAAATGACCCTCCTTCATCAATTAACTCATTTAACGCTTCACAAAACCCCACACTATTCTCAAAAATTAACTTGGAAGATGAACCTATGAAAGCTGTGGAATATCCCATTTCTCAGTTGCGGTGAGTTTTATAACAATTTTAAACTAAATAACTATATATAAATTACTTATGATGTACTTTATTACATGAGTTAAGTTTGAATAAAGCCAGAATCAAAATAAAACTTGTTAGATCCAAGAAGAGGAACCTTAATAATCCTTTAAGAAATTGTTAAATTCAAATAAAATTCTCAAATATCTTAATAATTATAGATGACTGATTTCTGTTTGAGTATTAAACTGATAATAACTTCTGGGATAGCGATGAGACATATTGCTACTACACGTCGAGTTTACAGTAACAGCTGGCTTACATTCAATAAGTAACCTAGTCCTGAACTTGTTTATTTCAAGAAAAAACCTCAGTTAATTACAGTTCTACATATATCAGCCGATCAAACAATTAGTTTAGTAATTTCCGTCTTAGTATAAATTCACTTCAGAATTAAAATAGTAGTTTTTATTTATTTATTTATTTTAATCCCATGTCTCTTCTAAATTCTTTTCCTTGATGTAATTATGTTAATCAAAGGTACATGGTCGAGGCTTTCATACTAAATGATAGTTTAACGTAGGACTAAGTAAAGACAATTTTAAGGTTGAGAACTGGGTATAAGGTAAAAATAAACAGTGAATAACACAATGAAATTCAGTCACCAAATACAAGTTTGTATATTTATGTTTGAGTATAAAAGATAATCGGATCTAGTACCTGGCTATTCAAACGGAAATGGATGAAATGGAATTTAAACGAACTGTTATCAGGTTGGAAGTGTTTTGTTTTAGAAACTAAACAATACACAACTATTTAAATATTCATCAAAATTCCATTGTGTCTCAAAGCAACAATTTTTTTTGATATATTGATATTTAAATATATTAGTTTATGTGTATGTTACATTTCAAGTTATTTTTTTACACAAAAAGATTTGGGAAACAATTTGGACAAGGTGTTTTTGGACCGGTTTATAAGGCTGAACTACTACCGAATAGTGCTTATGAAAATGGTCATCCAATTTCAGTTATTGTAAAAACCTTATCAGCTGGTTCACCTGCCAGTTTACAAGCAAATTTTCGCAGAGAAGCTAATTTAATTTCTGAATTAGATCATCCAAATGTACTTAGTCTTCTTGGGGTTAGTGTACAACACCCACCATGGTGTATGATATTTGAAATTCGGCAGTATCTTGATTTATGTGAATTATTATCTTCAAGAAGATCTATGATTAATCAAATAAATTTAACAAATGTAAATTATCCTAATGGTGTGACATGTAATTTGCCAAATCCTCTTAGTGAATCAGAAATTTGGAGAGTATTATCTCAAGTTGCTGCTGGAATGGATTATTTATCTAGTCATCGTTTCGTTCATCGTGATTTAGCTGCAAGAAATGTGATCATTTTAAATGAGCAATTATTTTGTAAAATTACTGATCTTGGCTTAGCACGTGATTGTTATGCAGCTGATTATTATCGTTTACATCCTCATAGTCTTATGCTACCGATTCGATGGATGCCACTTGATTCAATTATCTATGGTAAATTTACTATTGAATCAGATATTTGGGCATTTGGTGTATTGATGTGGGAAGTTTGGTCTGGTGGTATGAGACCATATTCTGCATATTCTGATCCAGAAGTTTTAGATTTGATACGTTCTAGACAATTATTATCATGTCCACAACATTGTTCAACTAACATCTATATGTTTATTACTAGTTGCTGGAATGAAGAAATTGAAAGACGTCCAACATTTAAAGATTGTTTAAATCAAATACAAAATTGGTATTCAGATGCATCCGTTATACCATCATTATATTCGAGTGAACAAGTATTCTCTTATTCTCAGATTATAGATAACAAAATTGATTTTGAACAGTTAAATAATGCTACTAACAATAGTATCAATGGAACAGAAAGTCTATCAGAGACTTCAAAATCCAACTTATCAGTACGTCAAACATGCCCGGGAACATTTAATATAAACAATCATTTTACTTATCCCAAAGATTATTTAAGTAAAATGTATACTGCAGATCCTTTTGAATTATTTCATCCATCAATAAATACTCCTAATACAACGATTAATAATAATAGTAATTCTATTAGTCAATATCATAATTCTAGTCCAGATAATACAATAATGAATGGTAAATTTGCATCACAAACACAAACACAATTACCAATCTCAAATATATCAAATAATTCAAATGGAATTCAAGAATCAAGAAATGATCATTGTAAATCATCTAATGGATTAGGTATTCGATTATTACCAAATACAACTACAATGTTTATTCCTACACTAAATTCTGTTAGTTAGTTACTTAATTCATTAATTAATTAATTAGTCGAAAGATTTGAAGAGATTTCATTCAAACAAAAAGGAAATGAAAGAATAATAATGAAAATGATAATTTTTTTCTTAAAACAAAAATTACATTCACAGATTTCTCCTAAATAACAATTTTTTAAATTTGTTAACAATGAATTATGACGTAATATGATTGTTCCGTTCCTCCCCCCTTTTTTCTTTTTTTCTGAACAATTTATGTTTCATTATGTTAGCACCATTTATACATTCTCTTCTCCGGGGGCGGGGTGGAATGGGGGGGATGAGAAGGATGAATACAATTAGATATTAAATAAAAAATAAAGCGCAATAATAATTTATTTAGTTAATATATATTTGTTGATTAAACTTTCTTATCAAGAGATATAATTTGTTTAATCTTTTATTAATATGCTTTTACTATTCGTATACCGGTTAACATATATATATTTGATTTACCATACATAAGAATCAAATGAATATGAGAAATTGACTAATATAGTTCTAGTCATAAAGAAAACAAAGAAAAAAAGAAGAAGAAGCCACACTGTAAATATTACTTTGTCCTTTGCAAATATAGATAAACAACTATCATTACTTTTCAATATTATTCAATTATTAACATTTTATTTGTATAATATAATTTCTATGTAATAATCATTCAATACAAATAAATGTTGTATTTTAAATAGGACAAGAAATTGTAATGTTGGTTTCATTTTTCTTCCCTTGTTATCAATAGACATTTGAGAAGTATTTGTCATATAATGTTTATCTTATACTTTTTGTTATTTTTCATTCATCATTGGTTAATATTCAATTAACATGATGAATAGAAAAAACATTTTCTCAATTGAATACTTATTTGTAATAAATATGTATTTCTTATTTATTTTTATTTTTGTTTTTTTTTGTCCCTTATGTTCACTACGTTCATTATAATCGATTAGTCAGTTCATTATCTAACACTGTTTGAAATCAATATTACGCCTTTTTTTCAATTGAATAAATAATTATAATGATGAGAAATTTTCAGACTGATGTATATTAAAACACAAAACGGTATAAGTAAGCAGAAATTCTTCAGAGAATTCAGATGTCTACTTAAAATTGGATGATTTAGACAATAGTTTAAATTAGAGATAATCAATCTCCAAGTTTCTTAACTTACAACTTTTAGAATAATATTACTAAACAACTAAAAAAGGTGTTTTGCTAAGTATGTTTTCATAGTAAGACAAATTTTTGAGTCTTCAATGATAATGGATAAAGAATTTATTAAATAGATTCGGTGTTTTCGTAATCATATTTCAGTTAAATAGATGAAAGTATAGTGTAGGAATTAACCAATAAGAATCAAGAAAACGTTTCATAAGTTTTTGCACTGAATTTAAAAAAATGAATGACTATAATCTTATATCTTGTAAAAACGAGCGTTAGAAATACTTTTATTCAGTGCCCAAAATGTGGTCACAGAAAATTAGTTAGAATTAGTTTAGAGAACTGTAAAATCTCATTACAGTACCAATATTTCATGTTGATTTTGAATGAAAATCATTGTCCATTGGCCACATATTCAAGACATGTCCCAACACCGGCAAATTAGACCTTTCTTATTTCTCCTAGATCATCAGTTAAGTAGTTTTAAGCTTATCTACTACCACGTGTAATCGGATACATTGTTCCTTTAAACTGTTATCTTTCTCTTTTGTTCATCTTCTGGACTCAAGTATGAGCTAACTTCCTTCTGTTGAATCAAGACTTCAGTTATATCTAAACTTATTTTTGTGAGTTAACTAGGCCCGAGTAAATAAAAAACAGGTGATTCCAGGGGCAGCATTCTTACAGTTGAAGAACACATGGAACTCAAAACAACGTTCAACCAATATCAAAGCTAAAATCTTCCATACGAACGTCCAGATAGTTCTACTGTACGGAGCTGAAACTGGAAGAACTACGACAACCATCATCAAAAAGGTACAAGTACTTATAAACAATTGTCTATATAAGATACTCGATGTCCGTTGACCGGATACCATCAGCAACAGACCACTGTGGGAGAGAACAAACCAGCTTCCAAATGAATGGGAAATTAGGAAAAGACATTGAAAGTGAATAGAACATACATTATGGAAATCACCAAACTGCATCATGAGGTAAGTGTTAAATTGAATCCTGAAGAGAAACGAAAGAGAGGAAGGCCAAAGAACACAGTGTGTCGGGAATCAGAAGCAGACATCCAAAACAAGAACAGCAACTGGAAACAACTGGATTGGAATGCCCAGGACAGAGTTGGATAGAGAATCCTGGTGGGTGGCGAAATCGAAGGCTTGGAAAGTAGTGTACTATTACCTTTTGACCATTACAACTCAGTCATCTCCATAGTGGTGCTGCTTTTAGCCCTTTTGAGTCTGGAGATAATCATCTATGACATGCCACAACTACTGAGGTGAACTTACTGTTTCCCTTCCGTAATTCCTTGTATTGATCTCTTGTCCGGCAATTGCTAATCATATGTGCACCGTATAGTAATGAACGATGAACCATTAATTATGCAGGCTTTATATGGACAGTGATGTTAACTTCTATCATTTAGTTTGTTTAGTTGTTTACTTTCTTTGATCTTGAAATTTTTAACTGCCGTTTGAATAACTGAGTTTAACTCGAATTGCGAACACCACGTTTTAATATGTACTTATAATCATTCTTTCGTCTTACAAGCGTTGAAACAATCAGTGAGCAGACATTTTTCCTCGTTCAAGGCATAATCAATTCCATGATTTATACTCATCCTTCTAGTAGCTACATCCATTTTGTCGCAACTTTTGTTCATTATTTACAGATCAGCTCTATTCTCCCAATTATATTTGCCTCATATTCATCATAGCCATTCTCATTAGTTTTAATTGGCTTATACAACTTGATACATTCACATTTTGTCATTGTTTTTGTTGTTTAATTATAATTAGTTTTTTTGGGATTGAGTTTAAATTTTGCGTCAAATCCACAAACGTAAACACAGATTCGAATTTACTGTCCGTAACATTTTGTGTTAAGTGTCTTACTGACTTTATGGCTTGGCCTGTTTATAAGTTACTTCTGAGTTTGAATGGAGTCGATAAGGTCAGATTATCTGTTCTTGCATTGAGATGGCTGCATTCCATCCATGAAAGGATCTTTCCAGTCGTATCCAGTAGGAAAATACTTCAATAGTTATTTGGGTGCTTTCTGGAACTTTTATTTTTATAAGTACTGGTCACATTAGCATTGACTCAGTGTTTAGGCGTGATTCTGGACTTATCAAGATTTCACTTGTTATTTTCAAGAAAATCATATTTATTTTGCTTTCCTTCGCTTGATTATTTCAGCGGTTATTGGTCAGTATTCGTTCCGGTAGATCTACTTATATGTACATTACATATCAAGAGACCTCCTCTACTTACTGACAGAACGAAAGCTATCATATAACTTTTGTTTGTTCCTGGATGCGTCCAGGTAATCGTCCTGGTTATTTATTACCCTCAGTTCAGTGTTATCAACGAATTCTTTTGTTTTGTTCAACTTAACGTTGTCTCCTCCACTGAGTTTAATTGCTGGTCAACCGATTCTTGGAGTCTTCTGTTTAGGTCTTTACCCAAATTGCAGTAAAAGTCTCCAAGAATGTCAGTCATCGATCTATTGTTTTTTGACTTTTTGAATATCTGTCCCAACGTTTTATAAAAATTTTCTTCCCTACTCTCTTCATCGGAGTCTTTTGTTGTTAGGTTTTAAATCTGTATAACTGTATTTTGTCTCCATTGGGTTAATTCTGTTATCAATCAGTTCAGGGCTTTAACGCCATTTTTATGTACTAACCCAACCCTTTTTCGTTATAATCAGTATTATTTTCATAGAATGTTATTTTTATTCAGTTTCATATATCGCAGACACCGCCTTCATTTCGGTTAGCACCATCATACATTTTCTTCCAATCGTTTTGTGATAATTTGGAGTATTTGAATTATAGGAATTATTATAGGAATCCTAGAAATAACGCAATTTAACGGAGAAGTACTAAATGAGCACGAACGAATGTATTGTATTTGGAATTCGAAATCAAGCAGTCCTCAAGTACAAAGGAATCATTAGTTCATACAAACACTACATCCGCCACAGCTTAAATTGGAGTCTAAGTTTCTGTAACCGATCGTACGTCTTCTCCTTAATTTCATCCTATGTCTGCCCGACAGTGTATTGGATATTGACTCTGCATTATCTAGAATGTACTCATTAGTATTAGAATTAATAACTGAAATTGTAACGGACTCATCTGAGTCCTGGAATTGTATACAATCACCATGTCGGTCGTGTAGTGAAACCACTGATATCTAGAATTTGTATCATAGACCTTCCAACACTATCCTCCCCCACGAAATAATGTTGGGTCTCTACGTCGCAATGTTATGACCAATTTGATGTTCCCAATTTGCATTATCTTCTTATATCTCACACTTTGATTGTTATGTATGAGCAACTAGGGATACACTCTGGCATATAATTTGAGGCAAATATTTGTCACATTCATTAGGAATATCACCAGAGATAAATCCATTTTGAGGACAAATAACATTTGATATGGTATCAGGATTTGATTCTTCTGAAATACTTTCCACAAATTTATCAAGAATTTCATATAAGATGAATGGGTTATCAGAAAAATCAGAATCTATCAAGACTGTGTTGAATTTTCGATCACGATTCGATTCATTCAACATCTTTTCCTCAGATATATAAGAAATTTCATCTGAAATATGTAAAGCATTAGGAAAAACCATATCCGGCATAATAACATGAGAAATCTGATAAGAAGTTGGTTAATTAGAAACTTTTGTCTCATAGTGATTCTGAGTTTCATTTAGCACTGGACCGCTATGTGACTCTATACCACTTTTCTAAGTCCTGGGTAAAGATAAATGATCATTAGAAATACTCGACTTAATAGGATCACAATT